ATGTATACAGTATATATATATATATATATATATTTATATATATATATCCGTAAAGAGGGGGAACCGCTCCTCGGTTAGAGAGAGAGTGTTTCGATGTCGATGCGGAATGTCGGACGTTTAGAGCGCAGCCGTTGTTGGGCCCAAGTCGATTAACTATTATGTAGATATATATATATATGTTTATGTATATGTATGTGTGTGGATATATATGTATATTTATATGGTTTGTGTGAAAAACCTTCAAGAGATGACTCAGCTGCAACTTTCACTGGTTTTGGAGACGTAGGACTCCCCTCCAGAATCATTCTTCAACCTTAAATACCAAGCAAACTCACACAACTATATGCATATATATTGAAGGACACACGACACAGTCACATATGCATAGATACATATATATAAATATATATATATTTTACATACAAAAACAAGGTGAAAGTAAACAATATGATGGATTATTGTTGTTAATATTCCTCGGCGATTTATCCTACCCAACTACTTCCACAATTCCAAGTCTTTTCCTATCCAAGTCCTTACTTACCCAAGAAATACTCGTAGCCCGTGCTTTCGGACTTACTTGAACATAAACTAGAAACAATCAGAGAAGAGGGAGGAGTCTGTGGCATCACCACACTCCACTACAATTGATAACTATCCGTTAACAAGTGAACACAATTAATCAACACAAATGAATCAACCAGAAACAAGAATAGCGAAAAGAGAAATACAAATACCAAACCAAATCGAGAGAGCTGCTCCCTCGTCAAAATATTTCAGAATACAAAAAGAAAACGAAACTCAATTTTTAGTCATAAGGAACAGAAAATTGGCCTGGTTAATTGCTACTAGAATTTTGAGCCATTTATTACTGACTTTCGTTTGTAAACAAGAAACAAATTGCAGAAATTTTGATTGAAATTTGAAAATGTGAAAAAAGATGAAACTATAAAAAATGCTATTCTGCTGCTCAAGCTCTGCTCTACTACTATCTACTTTATATTGCATAATGATCTCATCATCCAAGTTTATTTTCGCCTTACCGAACCGAACCCCGAACCCGAACCGAACAACACAAAATGTTTGTAATACAGCAAAGAAGTAATATTTATATACGTTAATACATATAGGAGACAACACGGCGCGTTAGACTAGACTCTCAGCAACCACATCTATAAATAGAAGGAAAGAAACTACAATTAAAACTTAAAGCATAGTCTATGTACATTTAAAATATATACAGAAAAACAATTATATTAAAGCAAAAAACAAAACACCCCAAACAACAACCACAAAACAAAAAAGAAACAAAACAAAACAAAAAAAAAGAAAAGAATAATTAATACATGTAATATTAATGAATCTAGATTTACCTTTATGATCGATGATCGTTGATCGTTGAGCGAGGAACGGATGGAAGAGGAATATTATGGGATCATTAGAGAGTGGCCCTGGCCCCCTTTTCCCTACACTCCCAACTCCCCCTAACCCCTCTCCACCACACCCATTAAACATTGTTAGCGTATAAATTGTAATATTATTTAACGGATTAACGAGAATACATATATATATATATATATATCTATATCTATATATATATATATATATATATATATATATATATATTTACAAAACATACATTTTAAAGCGAATCAGATGGACGCGCAACAATTGTGAGAGTATCATTTTGTACAATTTTGCAATTTAAGTTTAAACAAACGAAAGAAAGAGAAAAACAAGCTTCAAGCAGTCGGTAATGCCCATGCCTATTACATATATTGGATGGATTTTCCTTAACTTTTCTGAAACAAAACTTCTTTATTTATCTACTCCTTTATGGCTCATATGGCTGAGAGAGAAACACACACACACACACAGATACTCTAATCTAATCCAATCCAATCGTTTTCCTTAAGTAAGAAAAAAATAATTCATTAATACATTAGTTAGTGTACCCGCCCCCCGCCTCAACCAGCTCCCACTCCACTCTGTTTTTTTGGTTTGTTTGTTGTTTTGTAGGGATGCAAATTTTGTAATAAAAGCACAAAGCGCATAAACACACACACATAAACAACAGATACACGCATGCCACACACACATACACGCACACACACACACACACGCGATCCTATATAGCAAGCTGCAACACAACAAATGAGCAAAGTAAAACATAAATAAGCATAAGCTAAACGTAAAAATAATGAGTAACAAGTAAACAAAAAAAAAAAAGAGAAGAAAAGAGAAAAAAGTAAACGTAATGAGTAAATGAGACAAAAGAATAAAATACTGTTATTTTGTAATGTATAAAAGGATATTTTTAATAACTGTGAAAGCTAAATAAAATTAAAGCGTAACAATTGACGATGAAGCAACAAAACAAACGAAACAAAAAGTAGATGAACAAGAAAGCTGATGATTGATTGGAGATGATGATGATGATAAAAGAGAAGTTAATTTAAAAACCAAGAAAACCTTTCCAGAAAACAATACAAAACAAAAAACAAAAAGAAACCCAAGAAGATAAAAACAAATAAAAACAAAATCTTTAATGAACAAATTATTGTTTTAACTTTGCGGATGTCCATCGGATCGTGTTCGTTGTTCCTTTTGTGTGGCAGTGTTGCAAAAGACTGTGTTTTTCCCAAACCATCACTGCCATTCACGTTTTTCCATTTTGGGATCCAAGCAAGAATTGAGATCAAGCAGCAGCAGAGACAGAGCAGAGCAGAGCAGACCAACAAGCCTTATAGTAACTAATGAGATTGAAATAACTTACATCTACCTATAGCTATCTGTATATGTAGTTTAAGCTCTCGTAAGCTCGTTAGTTTCTTCCCAGCGAAAGTCAGTAATTTATGGCTAATTGTACCACTTAGCTGTAAGGAACGGAATGAATACCCGTGCAGGGCAGGGCCTGGTTCCGCACTCATCGCATCACAGTCCCATCCCTGTTCTCGCAGTCTCCGCTCTCCGAGCCAGCCTATAGAAACTACGCTCATAGATCACACGCAGTCACCACCACCACCACCCACCCAGAAACTCAGACTCTGCCAAACTCTATCCAGTGTCTACTACTCGCACAAAATCAGAACCCAGAACACAAGCAAAAAAGAATATCAATCCCCCCTTCCCTACATAAATACCAACAACAACAACAACAAAAAACCAGCAACATTTCATAATCTTAACCTAACTATCAAATACAAATACAAAAAAAATCGAAATACAAAACAGGATTAAATGGCGGCTATTATACAGGCGCACTGCATCATCGGGCACACAGCACCACACCGCACGATGGTCCCCACAGTACAACAAACATTGGCAGCAGCAGCAGCAGCTCTGCTCTGGCTCAGCCGCCGCCGCCGCCAAACTCCGTAGCCGCTGCTGCGGCCGCCGTGGCCGCTGCAGCAGCCGCACTCCTGCCGTCACCGGTGCCGCCGACCGTTGTGCCCACGGTGCCGCACTTGTCGCCGCAAGTTGGTGGACTGCCGCTCGGAATTGTGAGTAGCCAATCGGTAGGTACACGTACCTCTGTTGTCTTGTGTTTGTGTGTGCGCTATGTGTGTCCTAAGTTTTGCCAGTTACCAGTTACCGTTACAAGTTGACACTCCCACTACCACTCCACCATGTCGTGGAGCCGTGCAAACGCCACGTGTTTGCTGCGTATGCGTGTGCGTGTGCGCGTGTGTGTTTGTGGGATTAGATAGTTTGTTTGTGTTTGTTGCTGTTGCTCCTGTTGATCCTGTTGTCTGGCAGCCAGTTGCTCCCGTGTTGGTCGTAGTCAAGTTCCTTAATGCAATTTGTACGTAGTTTCGTGGTTGGCTAGGCTAGGGCTACTAACAGAGTTTGTGATTGAGCTGCCCCAGTCGAAGATTGTTGATTCTAATCCACTTCCACTCTTGCTTTTAGCCCCTGAGTGCGCCCGACCCTAATAATCATCTGTTATCGAGCATAAAAGCGGAGGTTAAGGCCGAGTCAACGGAGACGCCGTAGGCTGTTGCTGATGCATCGCAGCTGGAGCCGAGAGCTGGAGTGACAACGGGCAGTGGTGCCTGGATATCGCACCAGCGAGACGAGACAAGCGTGGCCAGTAGATGTATAACCAACCCCCCCAACTATACTTTGCTGCTAAGGAGAGTAGTCGGCAGTCGGCATGGTCTGTCTTTCAGTGTCGTCTCTTCTGTCCTGTTGCTGCTGTCTGTCGTCTGCTCGACGATTCCAGGCGCACCTGCGCCAGCGCTTGATTTGAATTTTTCCAAGTTTCTATGTTACATATATAACTTAAAGTACGATACACATTTGCATTACCACAAAACCCCAAAACCCAAGCACACAAAAGAAGAAGAATAATCGGCAAAGGAAGGAAAGTAAGAAATGCGATGCAAAAGAGGATAAAGCGAAAAGGATTGATGAGAGATAACACCACACCACACGCCTCAAAATTAACTACATATTTAGTGTTTAATTTGTAACTATTTAGAACTTTATAAAGTTACAATCGTAAGATTTTTATTTGTATTGCAGGAAATTGTAAGTGAAGAAAAAATATGTTACTACATATAAGCGCAAAACAAAAACAATGTTGGAAACTTTTAAATTACGAGAGAAAGAAAAAAGAAACAAAACAAAACACACACAACAATTATGGCATACAAAACAAAACAAAACGAAACAAAAGCAACACACAAGATGAGAGACGTTTAGTGCTTAAGATACGTTTAAAGTACATAATAAAACAAAAGAAAAAGAAGAAACGAGACAAATGAGTTTGTGTGTGAAGACAGCATGCAAAACGGAACATTGCAATGCATTGGTGTTGGTAAAAGTCACTGTGATGCACGTGTACGTGAGCGGCAACGCAGTGTCAGAGGGGTTCCTATGCACCGTTAGGCCGTGCCGAGCCGTGTTGTAAAACAGTGGAAGGGACAACGATTGACTTTCTTCTGGATTTGAATACATTTATTTAAGTCTGTTTATACACAAAGGACAGTTGTTTTCGGGGGGGTGGTAAATTCTATACTAAATGCTACATAACACCATTTACGATTGGCTAACCTAAGCAGATAATAGATGTGTTTGTTTGCCTTCTTTTTTGCATTTCTAAAACAGTTTTTTTCACACGTTTACAACGCTCAGATATATATATATGGCATATTCCATCATTGGAAGCCACGGCAATTGAAGCAAGTCCAAATGCTGGATGGTGGGATATATATGGATGGTATTCTAATATTAAAGAAGTTAAAGTTAGAACGACATTATACGATTGCTTATATGAAATTTCAACTCCATTTCAGCAGTTAACTTTAGCTGATGAGAGGTTAGAATCGAGAGAATATTACATTGATAGACCTTGGTTCGATTCAATGAGAGTACGAAAGCATGATGGAACTAGAGTGTCACTCATGGAATAAATCACCACTGGTGCTAAATTTTTGAACTTCAGAAATTTGGCACCAGTGGTGGTTTATTCCATACACGTCTATTCCATTCCAAGGTCTATCAATATAATATTCTCTCGATTATATTCTCTCATCAGCTAAGGTTAACTGCTGAAATGGATTTGAAAATTTCATATAAGCAGGGAGAATGATCGTCCCAATTGTATAATGTCGTTCTAACTTTAACTTCTTTAATATTAGAATACCATCCATATATGTATATCCCACCATCCAGCATTTGGACTTGCTTCAATTGCCGAGGCTTCCAATGAAGGAATATGCTTTATAGTTATGGTTAGTAAATTACATTTAGGTTGGTATGCTTCGGTTGGTTTTTGTTTTTTTGTAAAATTCCTCCATCCATCTCTTTTTTTATAACATTTTTGTAACACACGGCCATCGGAAGGTCCATCACGTTTCTATTAATTATGAACTGTACTATCTATGGTTGCTTTTGTTACTACGGAATGAACAACATTTATGCGAAGAGTATGGTGTGAAAGAAGTTACATACAACATTTAGCTGTAATTAGCTGCAGATGGATGATTTGATTTGATTTGATTAATTGTATTCTTTGAGCTTAACACAAGGGGCACCAGATCCAGCCCTGTTAGGAAACCTTGTACATACAACATACAAATACAATAATGCCTTAATTATGTTTCCATGTATAATATGTAGTGTAGGTCAATCCGTAGAGATAACAACAAAAGGTGTAAAACCAATTCGAGTTGACACATAAAAAGTACTTTCTTGGGCGGGACGAGGGGCAATCTTAAACTAGGATTATGTGTACAAGTATTTTCAGATGTGTGTCTGTCTGTCTGTGTATAAAGGATCTCTCTCTTCATTGTACAATACAATTAATTTGTCAGCGAGAGGCATATGCTTATATATTCTGCACATTTTGGGTTTTTGCAAGTCAATAAAAACAAAAAATTTAACAACATAGCGAGTGTGGGTGTGTGTCTCCCACAACTCGTATCAACTCAGAAGAAACGCGTAAGACGTGGACGCGCAAAACGTATAACGACATAACATCCTAGGCCAATCAGGCCGTACTTCAGGGTGAACTTGCACACACGCTGCCCGAGGCTGGCCGGCGGTATTTCAAGTATGGAAGGTATCTTTTCGGGGTCCACTTTGCCCCACATCTTGGCAATGCCATTGGCATGGCCGATGCCCACCACACCCACAACACGAACGGGTCGCACGCCAGAGCCACCCGGCGCCACTTGTGGCAGGGCAGCCACCTGCAAGGAATGGCACAAGAACAGATCACGTTCGCGCACAAAAACGTCCGAGAACGCAGGAAACTCGCCGGCCATCTCCTGCATTAGTTTCTCCAACAAGTCACGCTGCTTGCACTTCTCCACCTCTTCGCTGCTTATGCTGTCCGTGAATGTCAAACGCCAGACGAGCTTCATGGTCTGCCACAAGGATAGAGCACGCAGGGCACGATATAGTGTGATGCGAATTGGTCGATCTCCCAGGTGCAGAATGCAACCCGGCAGCTTGTGTATCTCCTCGAAGGCACGACGGAATTCACCGCCCGGCGCCATTCCCAAATCCTTTGCGATTTGTGCACTCATCTGGAGCAGCAGTATGAAGAAGACCCCATTGATATACCCATGGGTCTGTATAATACCGCGTATCTGTATGGGGATTCACCAAATAATTATTACTCCAAATTAGAAGCTCTCTTTGTCCTTGCTCACCTTTGGTATATTGATATTTTTGGCCTCCTCCAGTAGGGTCTTTTCATCCAGCTTCAGAATGTGTATGCGTGATGGACATAGCTCAACCATGACCACATCTGGACGGACATTGCGTATGACCTGGAAAGGATGGATTCTATTGTTAGTAGGAGGCTTAAAGAAACACTTGCAGGACTTACAAAAGAGACGTCATCCTGTGACTCTTCGCTGAAATGGGCCGTTCCCACGAGATAGACCTTGCTGCCAAATGGTGTGTTCAACAGCGTCACCGTTGACGGAAGATTCTGATCAAATTCCTCAAGAGTATCGTAGATTTTGATGTCTCGCTTTGTCAGTGGCTGATCGTGGCTGAGCGCCACAACCATCTCACGATTGCCATTGTCTCCATTGTCGGCTGCTGCCGAGGCCTCGGCTATGGAAATGTCCAGCTTTTGCTTGCTCGTTTGCAGCAGCGACTCCGTCTTGCGGCGTCGCTTGTCTGTGGATGACGCTGGATCCGCGACTGCGACTGGTGCGGGTCCTTTGCTGGGCGACTTCTTCAGTATGGGCTTAACGTTGTCGCCCTCAATCAGCACCACTTCCTTTTCGAGGTCCTCTGCTTTAATCGAATTATCGTTTATCTCTATAATTGACAAATTGGGATTATCTGTCTTGAATATTGTCTTGTTGGCCAGCTGTGACTTGGGGTCCACCTCCTCCTGCGAGGTGTTCGTATCAGTGCTCTCGGATTGAATGAGCAGCATGCTGGCATTTAGAGCTGCTGGGGTGGGACCATTGTGTGCTGCAGGTGCGGCAGTAGCAACCGCCTTGAAGGCAGCTGCTTCGCTGGTAAGATTCGCGTTGTCCGCATTGCCATTCGTGGGCATTGGGCTGTGGCTAATCTCGCTAATCAGACTCTCTGCGGATGAAAGAATGGGGAATAAGAGACAATCAGCTACAGCAATGACAAACATTTGTTTAATAACAGAAATAAGTAAAAGAAATATATAAACTAGAAACTCTGAGTGTCCTGCTCGTAGAGCGCCTTCAGTTCCTTGAGCCACACTTTGTTTTCGTTGTCGGGAATGTTGTTCTTTAGGAACTGCTTCAGCAAATTAAAGCATTTCCTCTTCATACGTGCAGCACGTTCCTGGTAGCTCTTCTCCTCTCTGTCGATCCGCTCCAGATACTTTTTGGCCAGCTTCTCCTTAGCAGTATCAAGCTTTCGCTTGACCGTCTTTTCGTACGACTCCTTCTTCGGTTTGTAATTGTTCACGCAAAGCGTGTCCACTATGTCAGCCAGCTCGTGGTCTAAAGATGAGAAATGATTCCCTAGCTGCGCCTCGTCTGCGACTGTCGCGAATATTTCTGATATAAATCGAGTGGGAAATGTTCCGGAAGTTTGTGCTTCGAGTGCCTTCAGTGCTCCAGCATAGAGTTTGGCTTTAGTTGTGTCCGTGAAGGGCCCCTTGAGTTTTCTCTCCTGGACTACCTTCAGCTGCGCATTCTCCGCGTGATCCGTTTCTATTTGGAGTACAGATACCCTCAGCTTGAAGGCGTCTATCAGCCGTACGAGTTCTGTGTGCTGCACCCTTAACAGATGCTGCGTTTCCAATGACAAAGGATCTGGTTTGGTTTTCTGAACTCTTTTGAGCTTGGTGGGCTCTTTAAACGCAGCTACATGATGCCCTCGGTTGTTAGGATGCTCCTCCAATTGTGGTTGCTTCATGGATAGCTTATGATGATTAACCGAATCTATGGACCAAGGACAGCTGGCTCTTTTCTGGTTTAACTTGAGCTTTGAGGGTTCTAGAAACGAAGCTTCCATGTTTCCGTGGAGGTGTCGTTCGAGTTGTGGCTGCTTTTGATGTTTCTGCGAAGCCATGCAGGACGGAGATGCAGCTGCTATCTGGCCCGACTTTATCCTTGAAGGCTCTATAAACGAATCTTTCATGTGTCTGTGCATGGCTTGACGTTCGAGTTGTGGCTGCTTCTTGCCTGGCTTATGATGCTTCTGTGAAGCCATGCAGAAAGGAGCTGCATATATTTTTTTGACTGACTTCATCCTAGACGGCTCTTCAAACGAAGCTTCCATTTGCCCGTGGGTGTGACGTTCGAACTGTGGCTGCTTTTGATGCTTCTGCGAAGCCATGCAGCAACGAGCTGCATCTATTTTCTGGCCCGCCTTTATCCTAGACGGCTCTATAAACGAAGTTTCCATTTGCCCGTGGGTGTGACGTTCGAACTGTGGCTGCTTTTGATGCTTCTGCGAAGCCATGCAGCAACGAGCTGCATCTATTTTCTGGCCCGACTTTTGCCCGTGCCAACGATCGCATTGTGGGTGCAGGCGGCACGAATATATTTGATCTGTTCTCTGGTCAGACTTCTCCGCTGGCTTATGATGCACTGAACAACACTTTCTTGGCTCTGTTTTCCGTGGTAACTCCTCCGCGAGCTTTGGGGCCTGTGAGGCGTTTATCCAGCGCAAGCAGAAATCGCGCCTCTCCGCTTTTGAAACCTTTCGCGCGCAACATGCGGGTCGCTGATTCTCATGGTAGATCCTGCCCATCTGAGGCTCGTTCAGCTGGCAACTTGATTCCACCTTCGACATCTCAGTCATATCTGTTAGGGTTATGCTTAACAACTACTGAACGGGCTGCTGGATCAACCCTAAACTTACCATTACAGGACTTGTAAGCCGTGGCGGATAGGCTGTCCAGCGCGCTGTCATACAGCGTGTCGCCTGTGTAGGAGCTGCTGTTATTCTCCAACGTGACACTGGAGGACTCAAATGATGTGGAGCCGGATACATCCATCGTGCAGAGCAGTGCCTTTATGTGAGCGTCTTTTGTGTGTACAGTTGTTTTGGAAGAGTCGGTTACTAGTCGAAATTCGGTTTCAATAGTCAGAGACACACTGTCCACGTACGTGTGTGTGTGAGTGTGTGTATGTGTGGGTTAGGCTTTCGCTCGAGTTGGCATCAGCCCTGTGTGCTGTTGGGCTGTCTTCTGATAAATACCTGCGGGCGCTGCAACAGTTAAGGAGAGAGATTATCAGAGATACAGATAATAGGAAGAACTCTTCAACTCGAAAACTTGATTAAAGTGTTTTTGTCTACGTGTCCATTGCCGAAGTAAAAGTAACTTCTTTGTTGAAACGCTTATTGGAAAGTTCTAGTAGATTGTTATGAAGCATTCGTCTGCTCAGGGACTAGCCAATGCTGTCGAAATTGTCGAGTTGAGCAGCGTTGTTACCAGCCAACTTACCCTAAAAGTGTTGTTTTGTTGCTGTGGCGTGTGTTTGCGTTGCACTGCTGGAACTTTTTGCATTAACGGAACAATAATTGACACAGTTTTGTTGCTAGGCTTGGGGCGCGTGCTTATATTTATTGTGTTTATATATTCCAGTGAGTGCGATTCTAATAAAACCCAAAAAACTAAAGAGTTAAATTTGTGAGCAAGCTGAGAAAACCTGTTTGCAGTGTTGTTGAATGCTTGTTGATGTAAGAATATATCGATAAATATATGTTTTGATGACAATATATTCGAGGGTGATATTTGTGTGCGATAAGCAAGTGTCAGTCATCGTATGAATTTGAAATTAGGACTCTGGCGTGGTTCTGAGATTTTCAAAAGCTACATTTACAGAAAGCCATCACGTTGGAAAATGTCTTGACGTTCATGTCCTGCTACCTGAATTGATTGGCTGGCCCTTAGCAGCTCCAGTTTCAATGGTTTCGCTTGCCTTGCAACTAGAGATGGCAAATGCTCGAACGACCGATTTTTACATATCGGTTTACACAAAACAGCTGTTGTGCCCACCGCCAGAATTGTTTTGTTTTGTATTTACGATTTCAAATTGAATTTAAAGCATGGCCGAGGAACCTGAGGACCCTAAAAAGGTTCGTAATGCACAAAGAGCATTGATAACAGTCTAATAAAAGAATTAACAATCTGTACTTTAATCATTCTAGAGTTTCGTTATCTTCGGACGCGATGTTGCCCAGATACCATGCTTTCGTAACAGTTTTCTGTACGGAATAGGCGGTGGCATTGGCATCGGTGTGCTGACATTTTTGGGCACATCCCGGCCACATCTTTCCACACACGTGGGCTTTGGATCCTTCTTCTGTGGCACCATTGTGTACTGGATGTCCTGCAGGTTGGTTGAGATGTCCCTGGCATGACCCGCTTATCAGTTGCTTGCTTTTACAGGTATCAATGGTCTGCCCGCCGGTTTGAGCAGCAGCAATTACGTGAGGCCATGCGCCGCCAAGCATTGTACGAAGGAACAGATGTGGAAAAAGCATTAGATCTTAAGTCGGCGTAGTATTAGTATTAAAATATATATTAATTGTATATATTTTAGTCCTCTTTTGTGTGTGCATGTGCAACTGATTCAGGTAAACTTTTTGAACACTTATTTTGTAGCTAAAAAGTTGTACCTTAAGAAATATTAAATAGTTTATTTTGTAAGCGAAATCTTACCTTAAAGTAGAACGAGTAAGAGATTTGTTGACTTATGCTTTACATTCAGCACATTAATTGCTGAAATATGAAAGATCTACGTTGTAATTGATGGCATAGAGAAAGAACAATGGATTATATTCATTACAATTACATTTTAATTATTGGTTTCGAGCCTCTCTGTCAATTATAAGTAAACTCTTCCAGATCAATTCGTTTTAAGTGCATCTTTTAAAGCCAAGTGTAATCGTAGACTTTTCTCTAAGACACTGATACACTGAACGCGGGTCATTAGCTCTGTTTTGACATTAGCTTAATGGCAACAGTCTAGCCATCTATTTGGGATTCTACCTGACCTGACCTCGCTCTGTCATCTCTGCGCTCTGTTGATAATTTCTCGCACTGCCACGCAGAGAGAGTTTCGTCGTTGATTTATTTGTGCGCACATGTGCGGGCGATCCTTCAGTACGTTCTATTCTCTGCTCTGTCTCTCCAACGAGCTGTAATCTCCAAGTGCCTGGCCCAGCGTAGTGTTCATTCGGTTCACTTATTCACGGCATAACGTTTTCGTTGGCAGCGCGAGACGGTTGTGTTTTGTGTGTTTGAGTTTATTCGCGGGGCGCATACAAAAATATCTCGTTGGAAATTTGAAAAACTTGTTTTGCCTTTGTATTTTGCATTTGTAATTGCATGCAAAACAACCAAAACACTTACCTATATAGCCATTGGTACGGAGAGATACAAGTACTAAGCAGACGATGTCCGGCCAGCAGCAAGCCACTTCGGTGTTGGTGTTTTTTGTGAATGGAAAGAAGGTAGGGATATATCTAGAAGATACATAGATACACTGCCACACGCTTTCCGTTGCGTGTTTCAAGTGGGAGTTTACGTTGTACTCACCCAACCCATATCTGCCATATCGGTCGATTGATTGCGTTAATTGTTTATGCAATTCAACGATGTTTCGAGCAATTGAATTGGATGTCGTAGTCCAAGAATATGTTATTTATTGAGTTTTGCGGCGCTGATAACAATTGACCCCCCGCTGTAGCAAGGTTCGTTGTTTGCTTGTGGCCCCACCGCACCTCTTATCAGATCCAATAAAAAAAGCAACAGAAATGACGTGACGCCGCAGCATTGAGTATAGTTTTTGTGGAACACCCGACTATACCATATGTGATGCTCTTAATCCAGTATTGCTATCAGGATTTACACTGTTTACAGTATGTGCTGGCAGCGTGTGCGAAATTAGCATCAAAGTGAAGTGCTATCCAAACAAAAATTGGCCATTGAGGCAACCAAATTCACAAAAGGCAGGTGCCTTGACTGTCTAAAATGGCTTTAACTACCGACCAGCAATAAACGAAGTGGCGCTGGCAAGAGACGAGGGTTTTTTTTAGATAGTGATACGAGTGGAGTAGAGATAGATACTAGCAAGAGAATTTATTGGCCCAGGGCTGGCAAAGCGGCTAAGAACAATTATACTGAATGGAGAAGAACTCTGACTCTGACATTAGATATATCTGTCTGTCGTTGGACTCTCTTTTTCCCCTAGCAAAATGACAACAAACAAAATATGAGTTAAGATTCTAAGCAGTGCTTCACATGTACCAACGTCTGAGAGTTATTTCAAACTGGAAAACAAAGGGAATTTCCTTGCTAGTGCTTCTGTGCCCACAAGTCAGCATTGAAGTTGAGACTCCTTCAATTTTGTTAGTCGTTCGTTTTATTGAAAAATGTTCTAAGAAATGTTCACTTAGAACTACTTTATGTTTCGTTTTTCCTCATTACTCACAATTTCAAGAGTAAAACAAATCAGTAACCAATCTTCCAGTCTTTCAAAAGTTAATGTATTCTTCAGGGTATTAGTTTTCCCCACAAACTTAGCTCTGGAGAAGTATCATCCAGTGCCCTTATCAGTGTTATCTTTATAGTTGTATTTCACGCCCGATCCGCACTACTTTCACATCACTTTCATTCTTACTACTCTTATCACGAATATAGCCTTAGCTCTAGCTCTAGTTCTTACAATAAAAGTTTATATTTGTTTTCCTTTGACATACATTTGAGTGGAGATTTATCATTAGCCAGTTGGACCCCAGCGGCGAGTGTGCCACAATCTGTTTTGCGTTTATTTTTTGTTGTTTATTTTTTTGCACTTGATAATATAAGTTTATCTTTAGTTCTTTTAAGTACAAATTGCCTTGCAGAGGATTGTTGAACTTTAAAAAAGTGATTTTGAATGTTTTCCATTGATAAACACTTCCTTTATTTCATGTCCAGGTAACGGACACAAATCCCGATCCGGAATGCACACTCCTCACATACCTGCGGGAGAAGCTGCGCCTGTGCGGCACGAAGCTGGGATGTGCCGAGGGTGGCTGCGGCGCCTGCACAGTGATGATCTCACGCATGGATCGTGCTCAGCATAAGATCAGACATCTGGCAGTCAATGCTTGTCTGACGCCCGTGTGTGCCATGCATGGGTGTGCCGTGACCACGGTGGAGGGCATCGGCAGCACCAGAACTCGGCTGCATCCGGTGCAGGAGCGGCTGGCCAAGGCGCACGGATCGCAGTGTGGTTTCTGCACGCCGGGCATAGTGATGTCCATGTACGCGCTGCTGCGAAATGCCGAACAACCTTCGATGCGGGATTTGGAGGTGGCGTTTCAGGGTAATCTTTGCCGCTGCACCGGCTACCGGCCCATCCTCGAGGGCTACAAGACCTTCACCAAGGAGTTTGCCTGCGGCATGGGTGACAAGTGCTGCCGAGTCAATGGCAAGGGATGTGGCGGAGGCGATGATCCCGAATCCGTGACGGATGACACTCTGTTTGAGCGCAGCAAGTTCCAGCCTTTGGATGCCAGCCAGGAGCCCATTTTCCCACCCGAACTGCAGCTGAGCGACGCCTATGACACCGAGAGTTTGGTCTTCAGCTCGGAGCGTGTCACCTGGTACCGTCCGACGACGCTGCAGGAGCTGCTCCAGCTGAAGGCCGCTCATCCAGCGGCCAAGCTGGTGGTGGGCAACACGGAGGTCGGCGTGGAGGTGAAGTTCAAGCATTTTCTCTACCCGCACCTGATCAATCCCACGCTGGTTGCCGAGCTGCTGGAGGTGCGCGAGTCGGAGGAGAGCATTTACTTTGGGGCCGCCGTCAGCCTGATGGAGATTGACGCGCTGCTCCGCCAACGCATTGAGGAGCTGCCGGAGGCGCAGACACGCCTCTTCCAGTGCACCGTGGACATGCTGCACTACTTTGCCGGCAAGCAGATACGCAATGTGGCCTGTCTGGGTGGCAACATCATGACGGGCAGCCCCATTTCGGACATGAATCCCGTGCTGACGGCCGCCGGCGCTCGCCTGGAGGTGGCCAGCATTGTGGAGGGTAAAATAAGCCAGCGGACTGTCCACATGGGCACTGGCTTCTTCACCGGCTATCGGCGCAATGTCATCGAGCCGCAGGAAGTTTTGCTGGGCATTCACTTCCAGAAGACGACGCCGGATCAGCATGTGGTGGCCTTCAAGCAGGCTCGCCGACGCGACGATGACATTGCCATTGTCAATGCGGCAGTTAATGTCCGCTTTGAGCCAAAGTCCAATGTGGTGGCGGAGATTTCCATGGCATTCGGCGGCATGGCACCCACAACGGTGCTGGCACCTCGCACCTCCCAATTGATGGTCAAGCAGCCACTGGATCATCAGCTGCTGGAGCGCGTGGCGGAGAGTCTGTGCGGAGAGCTGCCGCTAGCGGCATCCGCACCGGGTGGCATGATTGCCTATCGTCGCGCTCTGGTGGTCAGCCTGATCTTCAAGGCCTACCTCGCCATCAGTCGCAAGCTGAGCGAAGCGGGCATCATATCTGGAGAAGTTATTCCCCCAAAGGAGCGCAGCGGCGCTGAGCTCTTTCACACTCCCACGCTGCGTAGTGCGCAGCTGTTCGAGCGCGTCTGCAGCGATCAGCCCGTGTGTGATCCCATTGGCAGGCCGGAGGTGCATGCCGCTGCCCTGAAACAGGCGACAGGTGAGGCCATCTACACGGACGACATTCCACGCATGGATGGCGAACTCTATCTGGGTTTCGTGCTGAGCACAAAGCCTCGGGCAAAGATCGCCAAACTGGATGCCAGCGCGGCGCTGGCGCTGGAGGGAGTGCACGCGTTCTTCAGCCACAAGGATCTGTCGGTGCACGAGAACGAGGTGGGTCCGGTGTTCCACGATGAGCACGTGTTCGCGGCCGGCGAGGTGCACTGCTACGGCCAGATCGTGGGCGCCGTGGCGGCGGACAACAAAGCGCTGGCACAGCGTGCAGCGCGGCTCGTGCGTGTAGAGTACGAAGACCTTTCGCCAGTGATTGTCACCATTGAGCAGGCCATTGAGCATGGATCCTACTTTCCGGACTATCCGCGCTATGTGACCAAGGGCAATGTGGCAGAGGCCTTCGCTCAGGCGGAGCACACCTACGAGGGCAGCTGTCGCATGGGCGGCCAGGAGCACTTCTATCTGGAGACGCACGCGGCTCTGGCCGTTCCTCGTGACAGCGACGAGCTGGAGCTTTTCTGCTCCAGCCAGCATCCGTCGGAGGTGCAGAAGCTGGTGGCTCACGTGACCTCGCTGCCCGCACACCGCGTGGTGTGCCGGGCCAAGCGTCTGGGTGGTGGCTTTGGCGGCAAGGAATCGCGTGGCATATCCGTGGCACTGCCCGTGGCCTTGGCAGCCTATCGGTTGCGTCGCCCCGTGCGCTGCATGCTGGATCGCGACGAGGATATGCTGATCACCGGCACACGCCATCCCTTCCTCTTCAAGTACAAGGTGGCGTTCAGCAGCGACGGCCTCATCACAGCCTGTGACATTGAGTGCTACAACAATGCTGGCTGGTCCATGGATTTGTCGTTTTCGGTGAGTAATCGAGAGAGCTTGAGGGCAGCGAGCCAAAGTAGGGGTTCGGCACACAGGTACACGCAGACAACAAACACGAAGTCAAAAACGTTTATTGCTTCATTCGTTTTACTGCGTTTGTTTGCACAAACAACAAACACGAAGTTAAAAACGTTTCTTGCTTCTCTGCCGCTGCGGCAGCCGAGCAGCAGGCCATACGAAGTTGTTCCTCTGCCGCTGAGGCTGTTTTGTGTTCAGAAACCGAAGCCACACGAAGCTTTTTAGGTGCTTGTAGTGCATCGACTGCACGTAGAGCTTTTATGTATGTGTTTACACGCTGCAGCGTTTTGCATGCAGCCTTGATCAGACAGAGGGCAGAATGAGAAAGACAAAGCTGAAAAGCTCAAAGCTCATGTCTTAACGCAAACACCCGAAATGTTCTCCCATGCAAAGCGCCCTCTGATCTAAATCCCCTTTCGCTTTCAGGTCTTGGAGCGTGCGATGTACCACTTTGAGAACTGCTACCGCATACCCAATGTTCGCGTGGGGGGCTGGGTCTGCAAAACGAATCTGCCCTCGAACACGGCCTTCAGGGGCTTTGGCGGACCGCAGGGCATGTTTGCCGGCGAGCATATCATCAGGGACGTCGCACGGATCGTGGGCCGCGATGTGCTGGATGTGATGCGTCTGAATTTCTATAGGACAGGCGACACCACGCACTACAACCAACAGCTGGAGCACTTTCCCATCGAACGCTGCCTCGATGACTGCCTCACGCAGTCGCGCTACCACGAGAGGAGTGCAGAGATTGCAAAATTCAACCGGGAGAATCGTTGGCGCAAGCGCGGCGTGGCCGTGATTCCCACCAAGTATGGCATTGCCTTTGGGGTGATGCATCTGAACCAGGCGGGCGCCCTGATCAATGTCTACGGCGATGGCTCGGTGCTGCTGTCGCACGGCGGCGTCGAGATTGGCCAAGGTCTCAACACCAAGATGATTCAGTGTGCTGCCCGAGCGCTGGGCATACCCTCGGAGCTGATTCACATTTCAGAGACGGCCACGGACAAGGTGCCCAACACCTCACCCACGGCGGCCAGTGTTGGCTCGGACATCAATGGCATGGCCGTGCTGGACGCCTGCGAGAAGCTGAACAAACGTCTGGCGCCGATTAAGGAAGCCCTGCCGCAGGGCACATGGCAGGAGTGGATCAACAAGGCGTACTTCGATCGGGTTAGCCTCTCGGCCACGGGCTTCTATGCCATGCCAGGCATTGGCTACCATCCGGAGACGAATCCCAATGCTCGCACCTACAGCTACTACACCAACGGTGTGGGCATCAGCGTGGTGGAGATCGACTGCCTGACGGGCGATCACCAAGTGCTCAGCACGGACATTGTCATGGATATTGGTTCGAGCATCAATCCGGCCATTGACATTGGCCAGATCGAGGGCGCCTTCATGCAGGGCTACGGGCTGTTTACGCTCGAGGAGCTCATGTACTCGCCGCAGGGCATGCTCTATTCCCGAGGGCCTGGCATGTACAAGCTGCCCGGCTTTGCCGACATTCCCGGCGACTTTAATGTCAGCCTGTTGACGGGTGCACCCAATCCGCGTGCGGTCTACTCCTCTAAGGTGGGATACAAACTCCCTTTTGTGGCATTTAAGATCTTAATCCCAATTTGTGTTACTTACAGGCCGTTGGGGAGCCACCGCTCTTCATAGGCGCCTCAGCATTCTTTGCCATCAAGGAGGCCATTGCCGCCGCTCGCCAGGAGCACGGCCTGACTGGGGACTTTCCGCTGGAGGCGCCCGCCACCTCTGCCCGCATACGCATGGCCTGCCAGGATAAATTTACTAATCTGGTAGGTTTCACACACAATTTTTAAACAAAGAAAGAGCATAAAGCCTTTATTTTATTGTAGCTGGAAGTACCCGAGGCAGGCAGCTTTACACCTTGGAATATTGTGCCATAATTATCTAGCGACATTTGGGATTTTTACTACACGTGACTTTGTACATAGTTCAATTAAATAAATGTTTTTTGTTAATTATTAGCAATGCCATCACTTTGTTGGGTTCCATCTGTGGCAGAGGACAACAATACAGTCAGGAAATGCGCGATACAACAGCCAATTTAATAAAAATACTTTGCTTTAAAGCGTCTTTAATTGAAGACAATCAATATTGTATGATCTCTAATAGCAAGTAACTATAGTTTGACCTTTTGATTTGCATAATTTCATGTGCAATTCAAACCAGCAAATGAAAGTTCTTTATTCTTTTTCTTGCTCAGAGCAAATAGTGTTATTTTTAGGCATTCTGGCAGCAAGTAAAAACTCTATCAAATGTTCCGTACTTCCCCACTGAAGAGAGTAAGTACGACGGGTTAGACGGTGCTTCTCGAGCATCGCTCATTCGGCAGTTGGACGGCTGAGTGCGTGGACCAGCCAGCAGCCATGAAATCGAAATATCAACTCACGTTTCTCACATTCGTTTCCACTTTGATGGTAGCTATTGTGTCGGCACATGGCTGGCACTCTGGACATGGCCATACAGCCTGGAGCGGAGTGCCCACATCCTACGTTTCCTTCGATATGTACGGCAACTGCTATGCCCACGATCGTCCATTGGTGGGACGTTGTGTGCCACACAGAGACTGCATCAGTGCGCTGCGAGCTGGTCCTCAAGTGACACCACTTTTCTGTCCTTCAGCCAGCCACGAACAGCTGGTGTGCTGTCCACACGGCGGCTACGTGCTGGGGGAAACGAGCCAATCCAAGAGTGAACAAGGTATGCGTGCAGGTCGTGTGTGAGCCGCAAAGTGTTTACAGCTTTGCTCTTTGACAGCTTGCTCGAAGGCCTATCCAAGGGGCAGACACAAGCGTAGACGCCGTCGCGATACTTCGGCTGAACCTGAGGCACATCCTGAGCCACAGCTGGAGCCCATCATCAAACGCCTGAATCACAGCGAGAATCAAGTAGTGGGCGGCAGACTCACGCAGCAACACGAGCATCCTTACATGGTAACAGTTCGAAGAAAGTAATCGAAAGGTTTCACAATTATTTATTTTCCCTTCAGTGCGCCCTCGGCTGGCGTTCGTCTCGACGCGGCATTGGCAATCATTACACCTGGGGTCTATCCCGATATGTGTACCACTGTGGCTGTGTTTTAATTTCACGCAGATTTGCCCTAACCGCTGGACACTGTGCGAATGTTGGCGGGTGAGTAGCAGCAGCAGCAGCAGCATCACTTGAAATGCTAATGAGTCTCTTCGAACGTACAGGGAATCCCCGGCAGTGGCGTTGATTGGTGGCGTTGACTTGAACGACACTCGCGTCCAACGCATTGATATCGAGCACATTACGCGGCATCCCCACTACGATGAGGAGACGCTAACCGACGATCTGGCTGTGATCCAGCTGGCGCGGAGTGTACACCACCCAGTGGCCTGTCTGTGGACAGAGGAATCCATACCAGAGCGTCCACTGACAGCGCTGGGCTACGGGCAGACGAAGTTTGGTTGGTTTTTTGGCCTTTCTGACACTCGAAACTTGTACAAAAATTTCCAATTTATTAGCTGGACCCCACTCCAATCAGCTGCTGCAGGTGCTCCTCTATCCCCTAGACAATCCACGCTGCCAGCGTTATGTCCAGCACTCTGACAAGTTGAGCAATGGCCTGGGTCCAGGACAGCTCTGCGCCGGTGACTACTCCGGCCGCATGGACACCTGCCAGGTTGGTGTGGAGTTCGATTTTGTGCGTAAAATTAATTTCTTTATTGCAGGGCGATTCGGGCGGTCCGCTGCTGCTGCTCCAACAACTCCAACACCGTCACCAGCGTGTGCCCTACGTGGTGGGTCTCACGTCCTTTGGCGGCGCCTGTGCCAGCGGCGAGCCAGGCATTTATGTGCGCCTGGTGCACTATCTGAGATGGATAGAGGAAATTGTTTGGAAATGAGTGCATTTTGTCTTTATAATGATTTGATTAATTGGTTTTCAGTGGTTATTATTTGCATTAAATATCTTAAATTATGTAGTTGGGATCTCAGGTAGACTTATGTAATCAAATAAACAATAAATTCGACATTTTATGGCTTACAAATTGTTGAAATCTGTAATTCAATTTGTTACTCTATGAAATCTGTTACTAATATCTGTTAAAATTTGTATAATTTAAGTTCCTAACGCTGCTTAAACGCAATCTTCTCTATCCAATCGAGGTAGCTATAGATCCTAGTATAAACCCCCGGCGCATTGGGTGCCGCACAAAACTTGCCAAAGGACGTGATGCCCACTACGAAGGCCACGCAATTGTATTCCGGCAGAACAGCGTGCAGCGGTCCGCCCGAGTCACCCTGGCACGTGTCCCTGCCACCGGGCAAATAGCCAGCACAGAACTGCGCGTCGATGATGCCGCGTGGCAGCCGCCGTTCCTTGCGATACATCTGCTTGCAACGCAGCTGTGGTATGAGGTCCAGATTCACCTGCCGCAGCACATTCGACTTGGCGCCCAGAAACTCGGTGCGTCCCCAGCCAGCCGCCACGACGCTTTGGATCTGTAGTTCCGGCACTTGCCACAGGCATGCGGGACGCACCAGCTCCGACAGCTGAGCGCGCTTCGTTAGCTTCAGCAGGGCAATGTCGTGGTAGTAGGAGGAAGAACGATACTTTGGATGCAAAATTATAATCAGGATCTTAATGTCCTGCTGCGCCGCACTCGTCACGTTCAGCTGCTGTGCTCCAAGGCGCACCATGTCCGGTGGTTTGCTGTGGAGGAGGAGATATTCGCTTTAGTTCTGCTATTGCCGAAAGGCGTCACTTACCTACCCGAGGTGGCACAGTGGGCGGCCGTCAGGACGTACAGCTCGCTGACCAGGGTGCCGCCGCAGCCCCATTTGATGTCGCCGCTGCCCTGACTCCAACCCAAGGCGGCCATGTGTGGAAAGAGGCCGTGTCGCGTGGGTGTGCCACCCACAATCAGTGGCACGCTGGACACGCACTGTTTCCCCGAGAAGGTTCGGCCGGCATCAGCCAGCTGCAGGCGCCTCGTGGCCGAGTTGTACTCCTGGCATTCTGGGGGGAGATCGCTGCTAATAGAGCTGCAGTTGGTCGGTTGAGGTCACTCACTTGTTGCACTGATTCGCTGCGCCAGGATATGCTTGTCGGCCAGGGGGCAGCAGATAACCGGCACGTTGCTCCGATGGGTGCAGATGTCAATGCGGGTGCCGTGCACACGATACTCCCGTATCACATGGAGGCACTGGTAGGCCAGAATGCAGTAGCCACTGCGCCCGTCAAAGCTGCGCCGACAGAAGGCGCCCTCGCGCAGCACTTCGTTGGCGGGTGGCAGCACCTCAGCGTCGTCGTCGAACTTTAAGTAGCTTTCCTCCTCCCCTGCATCCTCGCTTGGCACAGCTGCCGTCTCTTCCTCCTGCTGCTTCCAAGCATCGTCGAGTCGTGTGTACTTGGTGGTCTGGTAGTTCATCATACCAAAGGCATCTAACGCTGAAAGAATGGCACGAGGCGAGAATTATTGCGAAGTGCTTGCTGCCATCCCAACGTACCATCCAGGGACCGCGACTGTGAGAGGAGCAGCAGGCATGTCAGCTGGAGATGGATGATTGGAGGCCAAAGCACCATCATTTTACAGGCATTTTACTTGACTTTCCACATTTCGCAGCACAGAATCACTAGCCTATGTCGAGGACAAAATACAAATGTGAAACAAAGATTTGTTTAGGGTTTTTGTGTTGGGCTTGTTTTTTTGGCCACCACTGTCACCGTGCCAAAACAAACCCCTGTGCGTGATATTTTGGCCACCACTGTCGCTGTGCCAAAACAAACCCTTGTGTCTGTGGCTGTTTGTGTGTATTTTTGTTTGATGTATTTAAATTAATTAATGCGGGCACTTAATTATAAATTCGGAATATCAATAAAACGTTTTGCTTAAACTGTGTGTCTCTTTAGTCGTGAAAGACCCCCGGCTCTTAGAGTCTACGTCGCGCAACAGTTGAATTCGTTCGGTCAAGCGGTTGAGACATGCGATGGAGATGCTGCGGTCCAGGTCTCACAGTCTACAATGGCTCTTTGGGCTGATTTGTTTGGTTTTGTGCGGAGCGAGTGTCACTGGGCAGTACTGGGAGAACGGCGGTACACAAACACAGTCCGAGCAAAGCAGGTGGGACTACGGTTACAACAATCAATGGCCGTCGGGTTACTTTAACAACTATTATAGACCGCCTCCGCCACCACCTCCGCCTTGTGGTGAACCCCCGCCTCCTGGTCCGCCGCCACCGGGACCACCACCACCCGGACCACCGCCTGGATGTCCTGGAGGGCCACGGCCACGGAAGCCTCCGCGCGGTGGCGGTGGTGGTGGGCAAAAAAATCGGCACGCGCCTCGCCAACCTCCCCCTGATCATCATCGTAACTTTCACAACATCTTTCTGGACATGGAGAAAAAAATGGATGCCCAAAACTACAATAAGACGGCCGAAATGGAGGACTTGCAGGATGATTTCAATGGCAGATCAATTGTAGCACCCGGACAGTACCCACATATGGTTAGTACACAGATCGGTAATTTACAATCATATACATATGTATGTATGCACGAGAAAGCACAACACACCAAACAAAAATCACACAAAACCGGACTCGACTCAGGTAAACGCCACACTGTGCAAAGCAAAGAGAAAGAGACAACTAAAACCGTTTAACGCGTCGCACCCTCCATAATTTGGCATAATCCATGCCATAAGCTTTGATAACAGTTATTAGGCCACGCTCAAACACTCTCGCTAAATTGTCTCTCTCTCTCTCTCCATATTTGTCTCATTCGCCGCACCGCTCTTTGCATGCAGGCAGCTCTCGGATTCCGCAATGAGAACCACGAAATTGATTACAAATGCGGCGGCAGTTTGATCAGTGAGTATTTTGTGCTTACGGCCGCTCACTGCTTAACCACACATGGGTAAGCTTTCCATTTCTTTTCTCCGAGAACATGCATATGTGTGCTTTGATACCCTATTATCGCACAGAACTAGAAGAGCTTATTAGTTTACACCAAACTTGCACTCATTGATTTATTTCTTATTTGCTTGCGCCCAGCACCGCGCCGGATGTCGTCAAAATCGGAGACATTAAACTCAAGGAATGGGAAAACGATGTGGCGCCGCAAAGACGTCGCGTGGCACAGATTTACCTGCATCCACTGTACAACACCAAATACTACTACCATGACATAGGACTTATACAGCTCAACCGACCCGTTGAGTACACGTGGTTTGTGAAGCCTGTGCGCCTGTGGGCGCGACACGAGATACCCTACAACAAACTGTACTCCATGGGCTATGGCTCCACAGGATTTGCCCAGGCGCCCACCAACATCCTAACGGAACTTGACCTAACAGTGGTGCCGATCGAAAAATGTAACAGTACTTTGCCAGAGGATGAGAGTGCGCCACAGGGGATACTGAGCAGTCAGATATGCGCACACGACTACGAGAAGAATCGCGATACCTGTCAGGTGACTAGACTTCTGTTTTTATGTAAGGATTAACCAAACGATCTTTGTTTTACAGGGTGATTCTGGTGGTCCCTTGCAGTTGAACTTGGAACGCCGTCGTCGTCGTCGTCACCGTAGCGGCAAACATTTCCGTTATTATTTGGTTGGCATCACTTCCTATGGCACCTACTGCCGCAGCGAGTTTCCAGGTGGGCTATTTTGAAACATTTTTCAACACTGAACAGTTATTAAATATTTGTATCCTTTCCCCTAGGTGTTTACACTCGTGTTTCGTCCTACATTGACTGGATAGCGTACATTGTGTGGCCGGATTACTATAACCAGTTTGCCAATCAGAATTAGTTTACTTCCCTCAGGTTTTTGTGTACTTTTAACATTTTCTTCTCAGGTTACAACTGTTTCCAGTTGCTAGGCAGGGAATTTCTTATTAAATCAATAATGAATTCTTAAATATTTTGCATTTTATTGTTTGTTATAAACTGAAACATGGTCGGCAAGAGTAAGAAGAAGCGCAATAGCAAAGATTCCACATCCAGCAATGCTGGCAGCGGTGAGGGCGATGAAAAGAAGAAAAAGGATGGCGGTGGCGGTGGCGGCGGTAAGAAAAAAGGAGGCGTGGGCAAATCCATTGGCTGCGATATCTTCAACGATGCTGCCATGGAGAATGCATACTATGTGTGTCATAATGTTCAGGTGAGCGATTGCTATGATTGTGTTGGGATTTACCTATCAAAGACACTTTTCAGGATGTGCTGAAATCGCGCGGCTTCGCCTGGCCCGATGGCCAAAAGAAGAAAAAGAAGGGAAAGCGCTGAGAACAGGTGTGCGGGAAATGGTCTGCTTTCAGATTTTGATATGAGAGCAACATTTTAAATAAATGTTGTTTATAGAAATTCGAGGAAAAAAATATATACATACAATTTTAATTTGAATTCAAATTTAAAACAATATTCATATGAAAACTTGTCCTTACCCTTGCAAGTTGTTTTCAAAATTGCACAATTATAGTTTTAACAGCCATGCAAAATAAACTGGAGCATATTTCGCCACATTGTCTTTATTTATAAACATTTGTACGCCACCAAATCGAGACATCATCGATCAAAAAACAATTTTGCTTTGAGCTAAACGTCATCGTGATTGCCAATGAGAGCAGCACAAGCGTCAGAATCTCCAAAACAAAACACAAAACAACACGCAGAACATTTTGAAATCAGCGTGTAAAAAAAATAGGCAAACAAAATTCGGCTCGTTTTGTAGAATTTCGCTCAAATTTGAGGGGCTAGAACGAAGCAACGCCGGCGACTGCACCATAAAAATCAACGCAACGAGCGCGCAGCTTCAGTTGGTCAACGGCAGCAGACGCAGCAGCAGGTGCAGGCCGAAATTTTGGTTAAAATTTGAGAATATAGAACGCTGCCAAAATGCCCAAAGTGCCGGCAATTGGAATTGATTTGGGTACCACGTACTCCTGCGTGGGTGTGTGGCAGAACAGCAAAGTGGAAATAATAGCCAATGATCAGGGCAATCGTACAACTCCCTCCTATGTGGCATTCAACGACACGGAGCGACTGATTGGCGATGCGGCCAAGAATCAGGTGAGTCAGGGTCAAAGCCAAATGGGGGGTCTCCAATTATGATTGTCCAAATATGAGCCTGAGAGTCGAACATGGTCAGATGGACCATGTCTGCCTGCTGCAACAGCAATGATGATGTGATGCGATTTAATTGGAATTTTTATGTCTGTATACACATAAATAAATATGGGAGCAGCAGCGGAATGGCCAGTGCCTGCCGCTCGCAGATAAAAATAGCAATTTCGCTGACTAATTCCCATTTCCCCTATCCATCCGCAGGTTGCCATGAATGCCCAGAATACGGTCTTTGATGCCAAACGATTGATTGGTCGCAAATTTGATGACAAGAAGATACAGGAGGATCTCAAGCACTGGCCCTTCAAGGTCGTCAGTGATGGCGGCAAGCCCAAGATTGAGATTGAGTTTAAGGGCGAACGCAAGCGCTTTGCACCCGAGGAGATCAGCTCAATGGTGCTGACCAAGATGCGTGAGATTGCCGAAGTCTATTTGGGTGGCAAGGTGAAGGATGCT